ATTAGCAGATCACGCTAATACCCAAAATCACACGGTCGATTTGGACAATGCCAAGGTATTTGAAAGGGAACAACACACAAAAACGAGACAAATAAAAGAAACAATCAAAATCAGGAAAACTCAGAATATGAACAGAGAAGAGGGGGACACTAGCTGAGTCATCTGTATGACCCGATACAACATGAACAGAGAAGAGGGGGACACTAGCTGAGTCATCTGTATGACCTAATACTGACATAACAAGGGAGGGGCTAGATCTACACCCTACCTTTAACCTAGCTATCTGATGCAGTGTGTTTATGCTCCCTATCGATAGGGGAAACGTCTCGGGTCGAATGACATGAAAATATTCAATTTCTTCACATCGTTGTACAGGTAAATAACACAAATCGCTCACTCAATCATAGCTTGACAAAGGGACCAGTCGGTCGTGAAACGCTGCGACACGTTTACTACGTAAATTGTTTGTGTAAAAGGACAAATTTGATAGCCTTATATGAACATTTGAATAAACAAGAGGCTTAGGGTCAAGATATTTGTCTTGTAGTATTATGGAGTGAAGGGCTTTCAAATGTGTGACCTTAACCCACTTTCTGGACCAGGGGTCAAATGTGTAAAAAACATCACTTCTTCTGAATGACCAAGAGTCCTTATGTTTTGCTTGCATATAGCTTGCAACCAACTTCAGGTAGCAGAATACAGTAGAAATGGCCCGACTCTGATAAACAAGACACATGTCGAGGAAATGTAAACACAGCGGATTTACCCTACACAACACATGTATACATGAATATATATTTGTAAACTGCATTACATTTACAATACATATAAAACACTGAGAAGTGTATAAACCTCTTTTTTCTATGTATGTCACTTGACTTGTGTGAAAACCATGGTTACCACATCAAAAATTACCAAAAAATGCCAAAAAATGCTATTTTTAACCCAAAATTTGACCCCCGCAAGTAGTAATTTTTTTCCTAAGCTCTGTCTGAAATTAAAGATTACCTACCTGGTTGCAGAATTATCTGGGTCGCAGTAAAATTGTAGAACTTGATTTTTTGCAATTTTGCGTCGTGTGCTGTTGTCAAAATTTTACCTCCTGTAAAGCTAGCTTTTCATGTGTACGCACCCTTTCGTATTATGGCCAAAATTTTATTCTCGAACCAAAGAAATCTTCTTTCTTTTTTACAAATGTGAAGCTCACATAGCCCACTTCATCATGCTTATACCAATTTTAGTACAGTTTTATTTTTAATTTTTTTTTACATATCATTATACAGGGGTTAGCCATTTAACAAAAATATCACCCATGGCCACAACCCTCTACTGTACTCTGCTACCTTATACATCACTTTTTTTTCCCCAAAATTTAATCAAAACCTTTTAAATGTCTGGAAAATGCGACAATGAACACAATGATGTATCCGTTTCCTTTCTCACTTTAATAGTGACCGAGTAATATGAATTCTCCTGAAAAGTGTATTTACCAATTCTGCTCTCAAACTACCAACAAAGGGAGGTAATCTGAAAAATGAAAACTTGAATAGGTTTGTAGTTTTCATGAATAAAATTTCTTTTTGGGTGAAATATGATGCCTTGAGATCATGTGCATGTAGAAAACAAACAGTACAGTGATACTATGATGTTACTGTCTTGTTTGATGACGTCATAGTAACTGTGATGTCATCATAACTATGACGTCATCAATGGGCATCTATGACATCATCGAGGATCACTGATATCAAAATATTGAACACTAGGAAACCCATCTCAACAACAAACTAGCAACAGACACACTTCCCGTAACCGATGAACAGCACAGAAATGTAAGATATTCTGAGAAATCAGACAAGTGCCACCATAGCAACCGTTATTTACTTTCCTCGCCTAGAATTGACAGTGACCCTCAGAAATTGTTCATTTAACATATTTCGCTAGAAAAAAAAGATTTTCTTCAGCTGTAATTATGGAAATAAAATTTATTGACATTACTGACTTTGCTTATTTCATCTGTATGCTGAATCAAGTGGAAAAAAACATCTAAAATAGTGTAATTAAAATGAAAACAGATATTTTACCCATTTTTACCCATTTTCAATAAATACAACTTTATGTATTAGTAACCATGGCTACCGGGTGCTGAACTGAGTGAAACAGACTGAAATCTAGTATGAATGCATCAGGAGATAGCCTGTGAACTATTTGATGTTTGGTATCAACTTTACCAATAACATAATTGACACATATGACATGAATTGGAGAATTTCACAAGTGCCTGTGAAAGCGCGAGTTACCCCTCTTTATACATCCACAGGTAACAGGCTAATGACCTATATATAGACCTATCTATGTAACGGTTTTTTTGGCGTTTTTGAGAAGTTTTAAGTATTAATGAATGAAAGTGAAGCTGAATTAAGCATAAAAAGGCATTTTTTCAGAAAAAATCAAGTTCTATGTGTATATGGTAGCAGAATACAGTAGAAATGGCCCGACTCTGATAAACAAGGCACATGTCGAGGAAATGTAAACACAGCGGATTTACCCTACACAACACATGTATACATGT